TATGAATAATATAACCAAGAGATGTATAGACTTGAGAAGAAACGATCAAATAGTCCTACAAGCTGACAAAAGAAGTGCCACAGCGGTGATGGATAGGAAGAAATATACAGAGAAAATAGAAAATGTTATCGGGGACACAAGTTATCGACTGTTAACACAAGACCCAACAGCTAATATCAAAGGGACACTGCAAAAAATGCTGGAGGAACTGAAAATGAACGGGGAAGTCTATAAATGTATAATGAATTCACTCCTACGAAAGGATGCAAGAACCCCAGTACTATACGGTTTGACGAAAGTACACAAATAAGAACCATAAGACTGATAGTCAACAACAGACACAGAACAACATAAACTGGCGAAATTCATCTTCCTCAAATGAAAGAAGTTGAATGACAGATTATCAATTACAATAAGGGCTCATACGAAATTTGGCAAAGAATCAAAGGTATCCGTTTGGAGAGAAATGAAGCCTTGGTGGATTTTAAAGTACAATCCATGTGCACTAATAGCTCAGGAGATAAAGCGCTCACGATACTACTGGAGACCGTGGAGGTCGTGGGCACCCTCTCTCAAAGAAGCCTAATGAACAGGAGGTTGGAAGAATGAAGTCAGCGAGCATTTCGCATATTGCCTGGGCATACTTGGAGATTCAGCGAGGACAGCTAAACGAAGACGTTTGGACCAAAGCAATTTATTCCACACAGGAAGAGACATCGCCAAGAGGAGGATCATGAGGAAAAATGGAATCAAGAAAAGGCGATTTTAGCGAGTGGAGTCAAACCTACAATCAGCCTGAATAGTTACTGGTGTGGGGCCATCTGTGGGATGGGAAATTAAATGAAATAAAGATGCAAATTATACATCATAAGAGGTATTAGACTTAAGATCTAGGCCCACTTCAAATTTATTGGTGTGTAGAAACCGAGCCTCTGAGAATAAGAGGGAATGTGGTGGGATGAGAAAGAGGGTAACTAGATCATGAGTCTGAAGCCTAGACATGAGATTCATCAGTCTTTAAATCCTAGAATATGACGTAGACGGATATTGAGGTACTCTGTGCTAATAATGGTGCCTCTGATGATGCCGACGAAATGTCTGAAAATGTACAAAGTTAACGTTAAAATACTGGGAATCAGTATGAATATTAATGTAGAGGAAGCATGACTAGGTACGTTTCACAAGGTCTCCCTGTTGCTCCGACCAAGTTGCAAAAATAGGTTTAGGTTAGCATTATACGACTATAGGAGATTGAGATTGAATAAAAGATCACAAAATTTACTACAATTACGTAATTTTAAGTTTTGTTTCCCATCTTGCTCCTCTTCGTACCTAGGGCACTATCCTTGATTAATTAACCTACACTTATTTGAGCTAGATTATGTCCTGATTAAATATACACCTAGATTGAATCCAATGTAGGTAACGGTAGGTAAAAACATTGGTAGATAATAAGAGTGAAAGGAGCTATATAAATGCATGCCTTCTAGAGTTAAGAGGTTCATGAGTTTTATCTGTGCCAAATGCTGAATCGATTTGACTCCGTATACCAGATTGACATAGAGCGGTGGGTTGTTTAAGAGAATTAAGCTGTCCTGATGGCTCCGATATCAAATCCGCCGAAATTTCTTGCAAGCCCGTGGAGAAAATGACAGCTTCGTTGTGAACATTTCGCGGAGCATCAAATTGCCTTGATGTGAGAAGAGCTTCACCATAATTAGTCGACTGAGAACTGGGGGCCGTTATCTGTTCAAAGCAGTTCCATGTCTGAGATAGGCCATCTAGCGGATGGATCAGTGTTTTGTGACGAAAGTCAGAGCTTCTTTGGTGATCCTGATCAAGCATACTGGCTATAAGGACATAGAGTTAAAAAGATTAATGAAGGTATAATTTTATCAGTGATAAAGTATGGCCTAGCAATATTAAAAATAATCTTGATTATGCTTCGTTTATAAATAAGTTTTTCGAGACTACCAGTAGATCATTTATTTATCAAGTGTATCCACCCTATTTCATTTAGAGTGATAAGAGGACTAATAGTTGAATTTTTCCCACGATGGCAGGAGTAGACCTTCCCAAACGTTTGCAAATTTTCCAAGTCAGTTGTCCAATAATGAAAATTACGAATACTATGACAGAGGATGCATGATTAGGCAGAATCCACAAGGTCTCCCTGATGCTGCGACCAGGTTGCGGAAACAGGGTCAAACCAACACCTTTCTTTCGTTTGAAGAAGATGGTGGAGGGAGTTCGTGAGCTTGTATCACCATAAGTTGTAAGGGAATTTCCTTTGAGCTGTGATTACATATTTGTGCGAACAGGTTCTCGGTGTACCGCCCTGCGACCCCGATGAATCCTTGCTGAGCTTTCGCCTATCATGTGACGGATATCGTCAAAGCAGGGTACCATGCTTTACGATAACTCACCAAGCACAAAGGCAAGAAAGGTGGCGGGCTTCAAGCATACCTGCTTCTTATAGCCTAGCTAGGTCCACTTGGTGAGATATTCATGATTCGGTTGGATATCTTATGCTTTTCCTACATGCTGTTGAAAAATGAAATGGTTGCAGACGGCAACCGTGAAACGGATGCAATTGTGTCCAGAAAGACATTAAGCAGTCTTCATCGCATAATTCAACAGACAAAAAACAAGACAGCCCATCTTCGGTAGCCGGTATGGCCAATTTACGAATCCTTTTCACCCGCCTTATCAAACGAAATAAAAGGTATGCCATTATAAATCTACTAATGTATTCTTCAAAACCCAGCTTCTCTTCATAAATAAGATATGTCTTATCTTCGTGCTTAAAGAGAATATTGTCAGGGTGACCTTCATTTTGTATGGAAGTACATGAAGAAGAGATTCGTTGGTCGATCTCACCAGATAAGGACGGATGAATCTCGTTGTACTGCAGCCGTTTGGATTTTATACGATATTCATTTTAATGCAGTCCACGGGACTTCCTCCCTCGTTTCGGGTGAAAACGTGCTCAGCTTTCGTCCACCAAGTTTCTCTTCGTATCTTAATGAGAATAATCGTATATCATGGTTTCTTACTCTGGCTACGTCTGCCACATGGTAGGCGAAGCTCAGCACGGATTAATTGGAGCAGCGGAATAGTGTGCTGAAGACTTATTCATACAAATCTACACTCACAGCTTCAGGGCAATTCTCCCTCAGCTTCTGGTGAGGCAAATTTGCAAATATCTT